AGGAAGTGCTACACCTGCCCCTACACCTCCCCCCTCACCCCCATCCCAGGCCCCAAGAAGACTTTCCACATCAAGCAGATGTTCACCTGCACATCTGCTAATGTGGTATCTTGTATCCGCTGTTCCCGTTGTGGCCTCCTCTATATCAGGGAAACCAAGGAGAGGCTTGGGGACCGCTTTGCGGAACACCTATGCTCGGTTCGCACTAAACAACTGCACCTCCCAGTCGCGAACCATTTCAACTCCCCCTCCCATTCCTCAGACGACATATCCATCCTGGGCCTCCCGCAGTGCCACAACGATGCCACCTGAAGGTTGCAGGAACAGCACCTCATATTCCATTTGGGAACCCTGCAGCCCAATGGTATCAATATGGACTTCACAAGCTTCAAAATCTCCCCTCCCCCCACTGCATCCCAAAACCAGCCCAGCTTGTCCCCGCATCCCTAACCTGTCCTTCCTCCCACCTATCCCCTCCTCCCACCTCAAGCCCCACCCCCATTTCTTACCTACTAACCTCATCCCGCCCCCTTGACCTGTCCGTCCTCCCGGGACTGACCTATCCCCTCCCTAACTCCCCACCTACACTCACCTCTACTGGCTCCATCCACGCCTCTTTGACCTGTCTGTCTCCTCTCCACCTATCTTCTCCTCTATCCATCTTCTATCCACCTCCCCCTCTCTCCCTATTTATTTCAAAACTCCCTTCCCCTCCCCCATTTCTGAAGGAGGGTCTAGGCCCAAAACATCAGCCTTCCTGCTCCTCTGATGCTGCTTGGCCTGCTGCGTTCATCCAGCTCTACACCTTGTTATCTCTAATTAATAGAGAAGACTCCAATTTAATCATATTGCATCCTGACAGACAAGACTGAACTGTTGGCTACCCAAAAGGTGCCAATTTGATAATTCTTTTCTGTTTCATTCTTCAGTCACTGTCACGAATCCCTGTTGTCACACTCCCCATAGAGACAGTGATATTTCAAAAAAGATATTCAATTGGTGAGATTTCATGTTTTAAGACTTTTGCTGCAACAAACTAAAATTTATGCTGGCTAAATATTACTTAGTATGCAACTACTACTGAAACTATTGCTAACCACATTAATGTCTGAACATGACCAATAAGAATAGGCCACACACACTGTCAGATTACACTGTGGTAGTGCGTTTTCCCCAGAGACATGACAATAGTTAAAGATTTTTAAAAGTACACAAAATTCCACAATATTTCTGAGATTTAGACCAAGGTTGGTTGAAAGCATGAATCAGGTTTCTATGCTTAAGAACAGTCATTATTTATGAGATAGACTCTAGCTACAGGTAAACAATTAGGAATAGTCAGCATATAATTCTATTAGTTAAAACTTGAATTCATTTATAAACTTCCCCTACACACACATACAAAACAAACCACGTGGGTGTTATGGATGGATGGAAACTGTGGGAAGGCAGTTCAGTGATTCCTGTCCACAGTGTGAGATGATCCTTTTAGTGTTCAGAACACTGTTTCTCCATCTCTTTTCTCCAGATAGTTTAAATTGTTTGCTGGGGGCACAGGGCGATTGGTTCAAGCTTTTTATTAACAAAATAAAAATCTTTATAAGTCATAGCTTGCAGCGACTAAAAAGGGAAAATAAATTGGTTATCTTCAGGTTTGAGACTTTTTTCTACTGCAGGGCAGAAACAGCTCCTTCTCCCGCAGGGTCTCAGCAGAAACTGTCAGACCTCTGGAGGAGAAGGACAGGGTGGATCTCATTGCGTGGTTCCCTGTGCAGACTTGTCAAAGCCATTTGGCAGAATGTCTCATCACCAGAACTTTCCAACAAGCACAAAAATGTCGCTTGGCTGGTAGCGACAAGAGCACTATGTGTGACATCCATCTTGTATGCCTGGTCAGCCTGCGCCACCGCACGCTGCCCTCGAAGTGGCTGCAGTGGGGTTGAGACTGTCACACATCTCCTTCTGGAATGTGCTCTTTGCAAAGGAAGTCTGTAGGAAAGTGCAATGGTTTTTGTCAAGGTTCATCCCGAACAGCTCCGTGATGCAGGACTCTGTGGTCTATGGTCGGTTCCCCGGGATGCACACCTCAACAAATATCGACTGCGCCTGGAGGACCATCAATTCGGTGCAAGATGCTCTTTAGTCTGCATGAATCTTGTTGGTCTTTCAGAACAGGGAGGTGATCCCAACTGAGTGTTGCAGACTGGCACATTCCAAGGTCCAGGACTATGTGCTGAGAGACTCATTAAAGCTTGGGGCAGCTGCTGCCAAGGCACAGTGGGGAAAGACCACTGTCTGAGGTCTTTCTCCTGGGGGTAAATGGGGGTCCGTTCAGTTATCAGACCATCCTAGCATCTCAAATATATGTAAATATTAGTTTTGTGTATGAGAGGTCTTTAGTTTTTTGGGGGATATGCAACTGTGCAGAACCGAACTGCTTTTGTGTCAATATATATATACACCCAAAGACTTTAATGAATAAAGTATTCTTTTGAAATTAAAAAAAAAAGTCTGATAGTTTCTGCCAAACATTTACACCCCTAATTTGTTTAGCTACCTGGGACCCAATCACATAATTGCTGGCAGGTAGCAGGCCTTTTATCAAAAACTGGTCACCAGTCCATAGACAAAGCAGCCACTTGTTGCTAGCTAAATCTTCATTCATATGTGCTGCAGCTCCTCTGTAACTAACGTTCTACTACTGTTTGAACAAGCAGCTCTATAAATAGCAAATACAATGAGCGTCAGGTAACTTGCTTTCAAAGAAAAAAGTGCCTCAAACCTTCAGCAATCGGTCGTTTTTAAATCAGTTTTATTCCCATCTCAGTCCAAAAACTGAAACACATAACAAAACTGCCTTTACAGTAGGAAACAATCCACCGTTCACTTTTTCCTTGTTTTGACTTTTACTTTGCTAATTGTAGCATCTGTGGTTTTCTTTCTCTTTCTGTCTCTATACAAAGACTAGATAAGAAGTCTGCAATAACAAGAACATTTGCTTCTGCCTTTATTGTTAAATCAAGCACATACATCTTAACAGCACATGACCTGGGCCCTCTTGTTCCCATGGTAACCAAGTCACAGAGACTGGTTGTTGAGCAGGATGTATTGCAAATCATGTGACTCTCTTCACTATTCTATTTCACCTGAAGATAAAGAAACAGTGTGATAAGTAATGTTACAAAAGCTTGCTCTGTTAACACCAAATCCAGATAATTCAGGTCTGTTCACATAACATTGAGTGTGGGTTGGTGCACAGGTTTCACATTCTTTACCGAAACTGAGATTTCTTTATTCATTCACAGGACGAGGGCATCGCTAGCTAGCACTTATTGCCCATCCCTAATATCCCAGAGGGCAGTTCAGAGTCAGCCACATTGCTGTAGGTCTGAAGTCACACATAGGCCAGACCAGGTAAGGATGGCACTTTCCTTCCCTATAGGACATTAGTGAGCCAGATGGTTTTTCCCGGCAATTGACAATAGATACACAGTCATCACTAAATTCTTAATTCCAGATATTTTAATGAATTCAAATTCCATCATCTGCCGTGGCGGGATTCGAACCCAGGTCCCTAGAATGTTATCTGGGTCTCTGGATTAACAGTCCAGTGAAAAACCACTAGGCCATTGCCTCTCCTGAGAACACCACAGCTAATGCGTTGAGAATGTGTACACTAGAGACCAACCCCTCTAGCCAAGTTGTCTCAATGCAGCTATAGTTCTAGCATTTATCTAACAACATGATGCTCAGTTTAGGTCCCACGAGGGCCACTCAGCTCCTGACTGCATTACAACCTTGGTTCAAACAAGGACAGAAGAGTGAATTCCAGAGGTGACGTGAGAGTGACAGCCCTTGACATCAATTCTGCATTTGACTAAGTGTGGCATCAAGGAGCCCTAGTAAGACTGGAATCAATGGGAACCGGGAGCAAACTCTCTGTTAATTGGAGTCACACCTGGCACATAGGAAGATGGTTGTAGTTATTGGGGGTCAGTCATCTCAGCTTCAGGACATCTCTGCAGGAGTTCCTGAGGGTAGTCTCCTAGGGTAAACCATCTTTAGCTGCTTCATCAATGACCATCCCTCCATCATAAAGTGGGTTGCCAATGATTGCACAATGTTCAACACCTTTCATGCCTCCTCAAATGCTGAAGCAGTCAATGTTCAAATGTAACATAATCTGGACAACATCCAGGCTTAGGCTGAAACATGGCAAGTAACATGTGCCCCACACAAATGCCAGGCAATGATCAACTTCAAAAACAGACCACCTAACCACCACCCCTTGACATTCCATGGCGTTACCATCATTAGATCCTCCACTATGAACATCAGAAATTCAACTGGACTCACCACATAAACAGTGGCTACAACAGAAGGTCAAAGGCCAAGAGTACTACAACAAGTAACTCACTTCTTGACTCCCCAAAGCCTGTCTACCATCTGCAAGGTAGAAGTCAGGACTATGATGGAATACTCCCCACTTGTCTGGACGAGTACACATCAAGAACAATCACGCCGATTAGCGCCATTCAGGACAAAGCAGCCAGCTTGACTGGCACCATATCCACAAGCATCCACTCCCTCCAACACCAAGTTGTAGCAGCAACAAAAACAGAAATTGCTAGAAAAGCTCAGTAGATCTGGCAGCATCTGTGGAGAGAAATCAGAGGTAACGTTTCAGGTCGAGTGACCCTACCTCAAAGCCAGGGCCAGGGGTCACTCAACCCGAAATGTTACCTTTGATTTCTCTCCACAGATGCTGCCAGACCTGCTGAAATTTTTCAGCAATTTCTGTTTTTGTTTCTGATTTACAGCATCTGCATTTCTTTTGGTTTTTACTCAGTTGCAACAGTGTGTACTATCTACAAGACGCACTGGGGAAATTCCCCAAAGAGTCATAGACAACACTTTGCAAACCCACGACCACTTCCATCTAAAAGGACAAGGGCAGCAGATACATGGGAATGTTGCCACCTGCAAGTTCCCCTCCAAGCTATTCACCATCCTGATCGGAAATATATTGCCTGTCCTTCACTGTTGCTAAGTCAAAATCCTAGAATTCCCTCCTTACTGGCATTGAGAGTCTACATGCAGCACATGGACCACTTTGGTTCAAGAAGGCAGTGTGATACTGTAAACTTTAGCACTCTAATAACAGTTCATGGGTTGAAAGAAGCAACAATAGCTCTGGAATAAACTGTTAGGGGACAAGACCAAACTATTATACAGAAATTGAAAGCAAATCAGCCATGCCTAGGAGAAGGAGGAGTTGAAGCTACAAGAATAAAATTTGTTTTACAGGCAACTGCAGAGGGATGGCTTTCAGAGGCAATCCAAATGCCTGGCATCAATGTCTCTCAATGACCCCAGATTGGGACAATTGGAGGCTACAACCTACCCCAAATTCAGAATTCACCACACCCTTGTTTCCCACTGTGGCAGCCAGCCAGCCACCTTTCTTGCCTGTTAGAGAGGCAGGTGATTGAGATGGTGGTGAATTGAGGCCCTTAAGTGGCCATTAATTGATTGAGGGTTTTAGCTGCTGTGAGTTGAGAAATTTGCCCAGGTACCATCTCACTCAGCATTAATTTACACAGAGATGGAGAAAGGGGTTGGTTTCTCTCAAAGGCAAACTCATCCAATTGTTTGCTGTTCTACTCACCTCCCTCACCATATCACTGAATGTTTCTAGCAAAGAGTTAGGATTGGGTACCTTTTCATGCGTTATGGCAGGCAATTGGATATAGATTATTTTTTATAATGAATTGGCGATCAAACAACAGTTGTTCATGAATGTGTTGGAACTGCTCTTGGAATTCATGTGAGCATTAAGACCATGTGAAAAACAAACAACATAATGATTAACATGCTTCCAAAGATTAGATGAAATCCAGCTACTCTAGGTGAATACCGGCCATGTGTGAAATTGGGAGGTCTCTGGATGCTACTGAGAATGATGTCATATCATTGGTCTCTCACCTGCCTCCTTTCTCCATTAAAATCATGATAAAAGTCTGCTGAAGTGGTTTTTTCACGTAAAGTGATGGAAGCACTTATTGTATCAAACATCACTTGCTTAATGCAAATATGGACTCAAAGCTGACTGATGATACCGATTTTCTCATAGAATTTGGGAAAGAGCAAATGACAAAAGATTATAAAGATCAAGCAATTCCTTTGATACAAGCTTATTCTTGTCTGCACATGATAAATTTTGGCACAGTAAGAAGTCATACTCTATTTGCTCTTTTTCTCCCCCAGTTTCATCTTTTTCTCCCCCAATTTCATCTTTTTCTCTCTTGCTTCTCCCCAATCTCTTGCTAGAGTAGAGTTCTTGTAAGGGCCTATGTGAAAATATTATGCCTGATTTCCTTTGTAGGTCCAATGTGTCCTCTCGCCACTAGAAGCATTCTGAAGTCATTTGTTAGCTAATAAATACAAAACATTTCCCAACACTTTTGACGGTCTTATCTGAGATCAGCTGAGGATTCCATTAACCATTATTGGAAATGGACACCTCCCACATTTTATGTTCATAATTTGTGGATGCAAGCAGCAATTGTCAGGAGCATGCAGACAGAGTCAGAAGCTGTGATATCAGTTGTTACTATGCCATTTTGAGCTTGATTACTCTGTATTAGTAAGTAGCAGCTTTATTTTTAGTTGAAGCTTCAGCCAATTTGAGGTTCAGCCAAAAAATGGACGACTTTTGAGAATATAGTGATGAGTTCCCTCGCTTGACTCATCAGTTCATCACTATTAGATTATATTTTTTCACATGAATAGGTAGGCTTAGGAGAAGTAAAAGCAGTGAAAGCAAATAGTTGATGCTATAGTTAAATTCAGTTGGGATGAGGTTAAAGTTCAGCATGAACTTCACTTGTCTGCTGTAACTGGATTTGTTAAACATTATCATGCAGGGCCAACGATCAATTAACCTCACTTCAGTTTTGTAGCTGAAGCACTGAAGTATCTTCTTGAATAGAAGAGATTTAAAATCCCTACCTGTACATGTTTCAATAGCTGCTTTCAGCTCCCTTCGGTCTTTTCTCAGTTGTGCCAACCGGGTGCGTAAGATTTCTTTCTGCTTTTTCATTTCTTCTTCTTTTGACTGTAATCTTTTTGCATCAGCTTCCACACGGTTCTTACCATATTTGTATTGATCAGCATCTGTAAATTAACCGCAAAGAATGTTAACATGTTTAAAATGGAGATATAGAAGTACTGGTGCCAGAAACATTCCACCAACTCCAATAACTTCTGAGTATCCTGAGTACGAATAACTCATTGATCGAAGGAACTATTAAACAAAACCATTATGAAATCCCCCAAACACCAATAGGTGTTATATTAGATCATATGATGCTCTATTTTAAAAAAAAATCTCAAAAAAGGTATTTTAAGATTAGAACATACAATAGTGACAGTTTGATAGGTCCAAACAGCAACTAGACAATGATTTAAGCAGTTTATGATCTCAAACATCTTCCCTAACTACTGCATATGGTGAGTCGGAGGATAAACCAAATATGGAAATTTATCAGCAGCAATGTGCGAAATCGTATGTATGTTATTTAGTTTTGACTGTACTGATAAAAATATTGTGCATAAATGGACATATTAGCCCAGAGTTTGCTGAAAAAATAATGGTGAGTTCATGGCACATACCAGTACCAATGTGTGAAAAACCCAGTAATTCTTGGCAAACAAGTATATTCTAAGTTGTGAATTTTTGGAAACACTGGATAACTTGCACTACGCCACTACTAGCCTTGCAAAAATTGGAGATCACAGTCAATCTCCCTATAAGTACAAATTAAACTTGCAGCAGATTGTAAGTGCAGCTATTTTATGACACTTGACTATTCTTAGTTCAGATTTCACTAGGATCACATGGCTCCAGACCACAATACAGCTTTGATCTAAACATGAATAAAGCTGAATTTCAGAGGTAAGGCGAGAATGATTGCACTTGACATCAAGGTAGTATTACTTAGAGTGCAGCATCAACAATCCCAGTAAGACTGAAGCCAACGGAATTAGTGGGGTGAGGGTGGTGGGTATAGCTCCACTGGAGTTGTACAAAACACAAGAGAAATGGTGTTATTGTTGGAGACCACTAATCTCAGCTCCAGGACCTTACGACCAGTGTTCATTAGGTTAGCATCCTAGGCCCAAACATCTTCAGCTGCTTTAGGATGACCATCAGAAATTCAGGAGTCAGAACATTCGTGAATGATTGTACAGTGCTTGGAACCATTCATAATTCCTGATGCAGTCTGTGCCCATATGCAACAAGACTCAGTCTTGGGCTAATAAGGGATTAGAAACGTATGCACAAGTGAGGGGCAAACAGAGAATCTACCTGCTTTCTTTTGACAATCAATGGCATTTTTAATCACTAAATCCACCACCATCAACATCCTGGGCATTACCACTGGTCAAGGACTGAACCGGACCAGACATATATAATATTTTGATCAACCTGTTTAGACATGCTGAGAGCCACCTCCAGGGCTACTGCAATTTGAACCTAGACTTTTGAGCTGGGAGGTAGGGAACCCAATGATAGTTTAAAAAAAAAAACACTTTTAGTCAACATGTTCAAACACAGCTCCAGGCCAGATGGGACTTGAAATCAGACCTTCTGGCCCAGAGATATGGGCACTATCACTGCACCACAACAGCACTTATCAGCACAATAAAATTATTTTAATCAACCTTTTGGATATTTATGATACACTGCCTTAGCACAGGTAGGAGTTGAACCTGGACCAGCTCAAATAAACACCGAGTGAGGAGGTATTTTCAATCAACCTGTTAAATGGGTGTTACAACACACCTCTGGAGCAGGTAGGGCTTGAACCCAGCTCTCCCAGTGCACTATGTATTAGAAGGTAATTCTAGTAATAGGATGAATAACGCCATTTTAAAAATTATTTTTATTATTATGATGAATAACACCTTGGAGTTAAGAAAGGAGATAGCAAGAAGTGCAAATGCTGGAGTCAGAGACGACACAGTGTGGAGCTGGAGGAACACAGCAGGTCAGGCATCCGAGGAGCAGGAAAGTTGATGTTTTGAGTTGGAACTCTTCTTCAGAAAATCTGAATTTTACTGAAGAAGGGTCCCGACCCGAAATGTCGACTTTCCTGCACCTCTGATGCTGCCTGACCTGCTGTGTTCCTCCAGCTCCACACTGCGTTGTCTTGGAGTTAAGGAAATAAGGCAAACAGGTGCTGTGAAATAATTAGATGATTGCATTTAGAAGAATAGCACTTAGCCAAAATAGTTGGAACAGTCAGACTAAAAATCTAAAAGGTCCCTGGTCCAATCCTAGTTTAGGCTCTTGAGGTGCATTGGTTGTGTCCCTGTTTCTGAACCTGGAGGCCTAGATTGTGGTTAATCCATCCTGTGGTGCAATATCTGAAATTGAATCTAATACTGTAGATGAAGCTGTGTCAATCTAAGGTATATTTTTCTCAGCTTGAGCTCTAACTCTCTTAGGCAATATTCCCATTTGCATATTCAATTTTGTTTTATCTCTGCACTATCTTTAGTCATTCTTTTTGTAAATAAATACCAAATCTTTGGTTTTCCACAGTTCCTAGCATCTCATAACTAAGAAAATATTTTGATTTGACTTTCTTGCATCCACGGTGAATGCTGTCACACGTCCTCGCATTGAACTCCACCTTGCGCATATACTCATTGCTCGTCTATCATACCTTTGTAACTTCCTAGTCCTCACGTGCCTCCTAAATTGGTGCCATCAGTAAACTCCAACATAAAACTTCTGTTCTTTCATCCGTATCATTAACGTATGGAGAAAAGCGGAGACATCACAATTAATCCTTGGGGACACCACTTTACACATCTACCAGTTGGAATACCTACTCTTCGTTCTATGACCCTTTATTCTATGACTCTTTTTGCAATTTCCCAACCAACCAATAATACATGCAAAGTGACAAGGCAACAGATCTGTCACGGAGGCTTTGTGTAGTCAGTGAAAGAGAACATGATTGGACTTGATAGCAATGCCCCTTTTGGATGAATAAATTGCTAACATTCACTGGCTAGGCTTACACATATAGAATGACTAATTGAGGCTCTAGGGTTGCCTTGTTGTTCATGGAACGGTGGCCAGTAAGGAAGGGAGGTGAAAAATTATTGGGCAAAGTTCTGCAGGTAATATTATGGCAATATCCGCAAGAAAGCTTTTTTTCCAGGTTTCAAGCACAGAAACTGCACAATTTAAATAAATATTATATAATTTTTGGTGGAAAATATATTCTGATAACTCAATATGCCAATAAGCATAGTCATTAATTCAAACATTTGCAAATCATTGTCATGAAAAAGTATGTTTAAAACAGGTAACAACATTAGTTTCTATTTGTTTTGGTTATGCACAATATGATAGGATGCAGCATTGTAGGTATCTCTCCATCTTAAGGGCAGCACAGCAGAGGCTCAATAAAGCAGCTCACTATCACTTTCTCGAGGCACTTACGGATTGGCACCAAATACTTGCCTAGCTAGCAACGCCCACATCCCATAAACAATTGTAGAAAAGTACAAAATTTAAAGGGCTTACTTGAGGCTGTGCGCTTTACATTTGTGACAGGATTTCCTTTTTTGACTTGATTGCTTCCGACCTTCTGCTTTGCTGTCATACCATTTACTGCTGTTGACATCTTCTTTCCTTTTGCCTAGTTGAGTAAGAAAAAAAAACATTAATTTACAGCTGACAATGCTTAAGATATCCTCGTTTCTTTAAATTTAGAATTTCCACAAATATACCCAAAATAATCTTAAAAACACAACACCCCATTAACTGACTGCTTTATAAAGTGAGTGCACTGACTTAAAACACAAATATATTGTATCACGTTAGCAGCAAAGAGCAAATTCCATTTCAACACTATGTTCATCGTTGAGTTCATTCTTGAGTTTCCAATTTCAGTCATGTTGCTATGAGGACATGCTGAGTGAATACCAGCAGATTCCCAATGGGTGATAAAGGGGATGGTGGGAAGGGAAGAGGAAGCAAAATCTCACGCACTTCCTCACTAGTGACTGGCTGAGCCCATCATTAGTTGAGACCTCAGAGCACATTACCTTTTTATCCTTGGATACAGCAGAACTAATGAAAACAATGAAACAAATTTGGGATAAAATACCAGAATCTGTAACAATGGCCACAAAGTCCTTGCTGCGCCATAAAAATCCAAATGGTTCACTGAAGTTCTTTTGTGAATGCAATCTGTCGTCCTTACCCCTTTGTACCTGATCTGTGCAAATCTGATTTCCTTATAAGGAAAGTGAATTCCTGAACAGCGATTCACAAATTTCTGGGTTGAATATATATCTGTAGCAGGAACATGCCCCACCACTGCCGTAAGGTCAGAAAATTAAACTGATGTGTAAAAAAGTACATAAAATCACTCAAATATGATTTTTACTTAAGTCAGTTATTGAGAAATATTTCAAACTTGTGTAGAGTGCAGACTCCCTGGCCTTAACCTTTAATATAGACACCAATTTCTGTCGGAGGACCAGCCACTCATTGAAAGACGCACTTAATTCTGCCTGAAGCCTGTTGGGTTTCCAGTGCAAAAGCCTGCTGATGACTAGGTGTTGCACACTGGCAGATTCCAACATCCACAACTACATGCTGAGGGATATACCAAAGCTTGGGATGGCTACCAAAAAAAGGTGCACTCTAAAGGCTATCCTGTCATTGTAAACTGAGATGATTGAAATTTTGTAATATCTTTCCCACATTACGTTTGACATGGTATGAATATAGCAAATACAAGTTGTGATTGTAAATGCAGTGATGCACATCAGAATGTCAATTACTGATTGTACTGTGTTTCCATTTCAAGTAAAGTCAACCTTTAAACTGTCATGTAACATAATTCCTTTTAAAAAAAGTTATCAATAATACATATTTACAAAAAAAATCTACTGTTCTAATATCTGGTCAAGCTTCAGTGCCAACATTTACTGCTATAAATAGCTTAATTCTTTTTCTAATTTAACATATATAAAGCTTAATTTAATGAATAGGGAACTGAAGGTTCTGTTTCCATGCTGTACATCTCTATGACGCTGATAAATAAGAATTCACAATGTGGTTCAATCTCTGACCATCAGGAATCTCTGGAATAAATTTCTTCAATCTTTCTGAAGACAGCAAATTGCATTTACATAGCATTTTTAGTATTGCTAAATATCCAAAGATATGTTATCTCCCAATAGCACAATTTGTTCCCTATCATATGCAAATTAAAAATAAAGCACAAGGGTTTGTATTAGCTCAATTTCTCCTGCAGATTTTCACTTAAATTTAGGTAAGGGGTCCAATGGAGCAGGTGAGAAAAGACTGAGCACTAGGATTCACCAGGTTCCAACCTAATCGATGATTTTCTGTTGAGTCTTGTAAGGGCTGAAACCTTTATCCATACTTTCCAGTATGAAGCAGAGGGAGGAGAGTAAATGATTAGAACTATTTCTCCCAGCAGAATCATGGTACCCTGGTGTGGTGATTGTGGGTATGGCCAGGAAAGCTACCCTGGGTCCTAAATCAGATAACTCAAAATATACAAAAACCGAAAGAACTGCAGATGCTGTAAATCAGGAACAAAAACAAAGTTGCCGGAAAAGCTCAGCAGGTCTGGCAGCATCTGTGAAGGAAAAAACAGTGTTAACGTTTCGGGTCCGGTGACCCTTCCTCAGAAC